TATTATATATATATATATATTATATATATTATATGTATTCATATATAATTTTTAATTATTTTTTTATTTATATATTACTAATTATTAATTTTATTTTTATTATTATTTTTTATTATTTGTTTTTTTATTATTTAATTTAACATAGCTTCGTATTTTCCGCACAAATTACTCATCGATCTATTCATACAAAAATTAATAAATAAATACATCCGGGAAATTCCAGGGAATTACCTAATTCTCATATTCCTATAAACATATTTTTTATAAGATTTAAATAATTTTCACACTATATATTAATTCATATAATTATATAATATACAATACAATATATGCATAATTTTTATTATTTACTTACTTGGTATCCATATACGAATTCCTTTTGGCTCTAAAAGTTCAAAAACTGGTGTAGGTAAAGTATAAGAATTTACTAATGTAAAATAACTGATTGAGTTTAATACAAATAATATTAAAATTGAGACGAAAAAAGTATTCAAATGAAACATATTTTATAAAAACATTAATTTAATTGATACGAATGAAATTATTTATATTAATATCAAAGGTCATTAAATGCGATATAAAGACGAAGTTGCTTGAAGTATTTCTAACACTATACTGACATGACAATGAAAGTCTCGATTACATATGAGTAAATCATTAATTAAAAAAACTCATATTTTTTATCATAATAAAAATAATACCAATTTATGAGATTTTTTTATAAAAATGAATCTATTAAAAAATAAGAATATTTATTTTAATTACATTAGTATATATTTATTTATATATATTGTTATTTTAAATAAATTAATTATAAATATTAATATTCATGCAATATAGATAACAAAATATCCATGAATTAAAATTTGTATAATTTTTAATCAATAAGTAAAAAAAAGAGAATAATAAAATTAATTAGTTATCATAGAATTGTTTTTTGAGTACATTTTATAATGTAAATAGACAAAGAGAGCAAACAGTGCAAAGAAGGACAAAGATATAATAAAAATATTGAAATCAGCGCCATCTCCAGAGTGCCGCAAATGAAACACATAAAGAAAGGACAGAAAATAGTAGAAGAAGGATAGAAATAGAATAAGAAGTGATCATAAGCACCATCTCTTGAATATCATATGTACTTTTTAAAAATTATCAATAGCGCTGCTCATCAATTCTTATCCTTTTTTAGAAGAGTTGTCTTTAATACTCGAGAGATGGCGCTGGCAGTCAATTTTTATTATATCTCTGTCCTTCTCTAATTATTTTCTATCCTTTCTTTTAATGTTTCATTTGCGGCACTCTGAAGATGGCGCTGATTGCAATAATTTTTTCCTATCTCTGTCCTACTTCTATTATTAGCTCTCTTTGTCTATACTTAGTATAAATATAATAGTATGAGTATATGATAAGAGATGGTGCTGCAAGTTAAATACCAAGAAAGATTTAAGCTATAATTTTTTAGAAATTATGTAAAGAAATATAAAAATATATAAAAATTAAAGATTGATATTTCTAATGAAATATAAAATTCTATAAGATTATTATATTAATAAATTAAAATTTAAATTGCAGAAAATGTAATAAAACTTCGAATACGTAATTTTACTACAATATTCTGTGGAATTATATGATGTCTTGGCATCTTGTTTAATCAATATAAAATATATAAAAAGCTTATATCATGCTATTAACCAGAGGTACAATAAAACAAAGTGTTTTTAGAATTTTATCGTATGATTTAGTAAAAAGCATTATAAATAAATGTTTAATACAAGAAATCAACGTAAAATGCCAAGCAAATATAGGTTATCATATGCTACATTTTAAAAAGTATTTAAATATAAGTAAAGATTTAAAAATATTAAGTTACGAATCAATTGCTCATAATCATTCTAGTAATAAAAATTTATTCATAATCTTAAATAATAGTTTATCTACACAGTGAGTACATTAAAATGATAATAACAAAATATTCTAAGTTCTATATTAAATATTCTATTCTATATCAAATTTTTCTTATTAATATTTTGAGTTTTAATTTTTTATATTATTATTTAATAATATTTTATATTATTTCCATAATTTTATATATACTTGAAAGCAAAATATCAATAATCAATTATGTAAAAATGAAATTTTTTTTTTTACAGAGAATTAACATCTGTACAATTTGAAAAAGTTTCTGATGAGACACTTACTTCTTTAACTGAATATTTTGATGAATTAGTAGAGCAAGCAATACATTTATCGGATGCAGATGTATCATATGGGGTATGTTTTACGAATGAAATATATATTAAACTTATAATATATACTAATTATGACATATACTTTATATATTATATATTATATATTAATTATATGATGGTATACTGATGTGATTATAGTTAATTACATTATAATTATGTTACAGGATGGTGTATTAACTGTTAAATTTGGTGATTCTCATGGTACATATGTTATAAATCGTCAAAGTCCAAATAGACAAATTTGGTTATCATCTCCAAAATCTGGTCCAAAACGATATGATTTTATAGATGGTAAATGGATTTATAAGTATGATGGAAAAACATTACATGAATTACTCGATGACGAAATACCAGCAATTATAGGAGATCAAACAAATTTTAATAAATGTTCCTTTAGTGGAAAATAAAAAGAAATTACAGTGAACTGTCTTCAATTACATATTAATTATTCAAATTGTAATTTTAATTAACAATAACTAAATTTAAAAAAATTAAAAATTTTTAAATTTATGTATATAAACAATAATAGATAAAATATTATAATATATGTGAGTACTTATATCTTTATAACATATTGACACTAATAACTTGCATGCTAGAATGGCACATATATTTTAATTATTCTTTATATTATTTTATATTATTTTATTGTGTGTTATTTGTTTGTTATTAGTTACATATGTAATATTAATATTCAAGAATATTTTATTTTAAAATTTATATATTGTCATAAAAGCACATATCCAGAATTATATTCAGTCATATATTCAGAATCAATGTAATTTGTTATATTATCATTAAATATATTTTTTGTAAATAATAAATAATATGTGAAACTATTATTGGATATTATTTAAAATTTATTATCAATAAATATTTTTATTTAAGACAATATTAATATTGTATATAATCATTTATTATATTTTTACAATTCTAAGAATATAATTTGAATCAACAAAGAGAGAATAATAAAAATGGAAATTATGGAAGATGGTAATTTAGTAGACCGTGTTAGAATTTTGTTACAACGAGACATGCAATATTATCAGGTAGTATTTATGATATTATATTATATTATATTATTTTCAATGTAATAAAAATAATCTTTTACAAAATAACAAAGGATTTATTATGAATTAATATCATATATATATATATATATATATATATATGATATGATGTAGGAAATGCAAACCGTGTTGAAAGAACCACTTTGTTCGCGTGTAAGTGGTGGAAAACTTGATTTCCCAAGGCATGCTTCATTCGCTGCTGTTAAAATCGTTATGTGGTGGGAAGCAGATTTTCAAGCTGCATTTGAACGTCATTCCGATTTGACAAATTTAATGGAAAATGAGACTTCTGCAATCGTAGAAAATGAAGAGAAAGTTATTAAAAAAATTCAACCTTCCGAATTTGTATTACTTGTTGTCGATACTGCCGATAAATTATTAGGTAAAGAAATGTAATTTCGTTTGGAAGAAATAAAAAATTAAATCTAAATAAATAATTCAAATTAAAGGGAATGTTTTAAATTTTGATATAAATATTTTGTAATAAAATCATTTCAGAACATTTACATTTACTTATTCAAGAATCATTAGATCATGCAGATTTGACAGTATTAACAGCTACTTTAGGAGCAGCTGCATTGATACGAAATTCTCTATGGTGTTATAATCAACAGGCCAAAAATTTAATTCCTTACAATCAAGGTATTTATACTAAATCATTGTAAATTCTTCTTTTTTAATTATTTTATTAAATTTCATATTTTGAATAGCGAGAAATTAAACACATCGTATAAGTCTTATCATGAAATGACTGAAGCTGTGGCAGAACGATTGTTGGATTTGCATTGTCGTTTAATTTCATTATATATACTTAACGAAGCTGATTCTCTTAGTTGGCATGATAATAAATCATTTTTTGAACGAGAACGTTGCTCTTTCGTAATTCAAATGTGGTGGCTATATATGAATGGTAATTATAATTTTATTGCATTATAAAATTATCATATATTATAAAATTAGAAAGTATAATATTTCTAAATCTATATAATGAACAGTATTTTAGTATATTTTTTAATTCAAATTTTAATTCTTCAAATTGATATATATATATATATATATCATATTTTCCTAAAATTAATTATGTTATCTAATTTTCTTTTGTTCGTCACTATATATATTATATCGACAAGAAATATTTTTTTACTATATTTTATTTTTAATTATAATATAATATCTTTATATTCATTTTTTATTACTTTTTTTAGGAACCAAAGCAGATTTATGGAGTACCGTATCTCCAAAAATGGCACAACGCGTTTTTTCTGGGATGTTGAACGAGTCTTTATCTATTATTGTAACAAGATTTATTTATGTAATATTAAAAAAAGTTATATAATTTTATATATATATATACATATATATGTATAATATTAATACAAATAAATATAAACTAATATAAATAGGGCCGACCAAGTTTGGCACGAGCTGAACAATTTTGGACAGATGCTTTTAACGTCCTTTGCTGTACCGGATATCTTGCTTTGGCTGTTTGCGTAAATGCCAATGAAATGATCGGAATGAAATTAAATAAATTGCCTACTGCTATTAGAGATATACATACAAAATGTAATGAGTTATTAATTTGCTTATTATTAAGAGGTACACCTCTTCAAGAATTATATCAGGTATTAAAACATGCTTGACATATGCAAATATTAATATGCTTTTTATTTTTTAAGATAATTTATCTAATGTATCTTATTTTATGAATTTTTATATGAAAAATTTGTTATCACAGGTGTTTCGTGTTGGATTTGAAAATTTAACGATTCTACAAACGCGTCGTGAACCTGCTCCCTGGTTATTAATATGCGCGCCAAATTTATTGGGTTCTATCGATTCTGATGTATATATTTCAAATTTACCTCCGGATCGACTTGTGATTTTAGAATTAAATATTCTTAGACATCAACCTCAGCCGAATTGGCCTCAATTAATGAAGGTTATTATCATCGCTTATATGTATCGCTATCATAGCGATATTTTATAGCATAGAAATTAGACATATTATAAATAATATATTATAAAATAAATATCATTTAAGTTTATTTAATTTGGATGACAATAATGTTTGATTTTTAATTGAATATAAAAAAAAGAATATAAAATTTATATATTGTTTATATATTGTTATACATTGTTTTATATAGAGATTATGTTAGATTATTTAAAAGAAGAAGCGTATATTTTGTATAATTTAAAATGTTAATATTTTAAATTAAATATTATAATTAAAAGATGCTACTTTTAAATTTTCATAGATAATTTTTATGAACAATTGTGCAGTAGCCAAAATATTATTAAACACTCTCATATATAAATGTGGTAATTTTACATGTGAAAACGAATTTGAAAATTTCAAGAAATTCGATAAAAAGAATTGTGGTGGTTTTTTATGTAGTGGTGCAATGTGCAATCCATCAATAAAAATAACATCAGCATTGAGCCTTTATAGTTTAATGTACATTTTAACATGTACAGCACAGGATCCTGGTTACGTTATTATACCAGCTTTAAAACAAAATTCTGAGTGGTCTAATTATCTTGATCGGCAACAGGTATTTATTTTTTAAAATTAAGCGAATAAGAATATTTGAAAATATTAAACGAACATGTTTTTTTAGGTTTGGAACCAATCAAGGCCTCCTTGGTTAAATGCAATTTTAAATCCATTAAAGGATATGATGCAACCAATTATTGAAATACTTTTAAAAGCTGTAAAAGTAAGTTATCGATTATAACTGTATATTTATATAACAAAATTGGGATTGCTTTTAAATTAATAATTTTTTGACTTAAAATATCTTATAGATTTACATCATATAAATTAAAATAGGTAGTATTTAAGATTTAATCTAATCTTCAATTACTTAAAAATCTAAAAAAAAATTCAATGAAATAACATAATAATTTTCAGACAGGAGCTAGTATGTATCAGGCAATGTCACTAGTGATTGGCTGTTTCACCGAGTTATATGTAACATTACCACTTGCAATTTTGAAAACTGTACTCGCGTTAAATGATAATATTCCTGCCCATTGTCATCCAATTGGTGGAAATGTTCTTCTTCATGTTTTGTGTGCATCTCTTTATACCGCTCTTATTGAATTCTCAAAAAATTGCGAAGTAGAGATAGAAGATAGTTCAACATCTAAAGATTGTGAATTAAATATCTTTAATCCTAATGATATATCAGCAACTATGACTACTTTAGCTGAAGCTATTTGTAGTATCGATGAAGATAACAAGCATACTTCACAAATTGACGATTTCTTTCAACTTGTAAAAAAAAAGTAAAATTATTAAGCACAAAAATTTTATTTAAAATTATAAATCATGTATATATATTTATTGGAATTAATTTATTTATTCGCTTATTATTTTTTAGTGTGCAAACATTAAATACAAATTCGCGTATCGATGAAACAAATATGTCTTCTATTATTGAGGTATATACCGATGAATTATTATTCACCAGTTCGGGACGTCAAGCTTTGAAGGTGTGTAATAAATATATACATTATAAATTATTGTTCAAAAATTTTAATCTAATAATTTAAAAATTGAATTTAACGTGATATTATATTAGGTGGTTCATGAATTTTTAATTCATGCATCGGATTTAATATTGAATAATTTAAGGCAAAATAATGTCGATAGGCTTAAGGACGATATACCTGAAATTACACCTCTTTCTAAACCATTAACTCATATAATGTTCCATATTGAAGATACTGCATTTGATCAAGTCAGTAAAATTGATATAATTATAATAGATAATATTAATATATTTAAGAAATATAACATTGTTTTATTTCCAGTTTTTAATTCAATACGAGAAAACGAATTGGCGGAAAATTTTAACAATGCCACTTTCTATAACTGTGGATCACGCACGAAGTCAAATTTTGTCACGACCAGAATTTAAAAATATCGGTGAATTGACTAATGAAAATAGGGAAGCAGTGTATTCACTTAAGAAACTTTGTTCTTCTACAAAGACAGCACACTTTAAATAATACTTATAAATTATATAAAAATTAACACGAAATAAATTAATTCCAAAATTAATATTTTACTTGTACAGTTTTCTTATATAATTTAATGTGTATCTGCATTAAATATATATTTAAATATAATATTTTGTAAATAAAATTATGCAAAAGAAATATTTTATAAAATATTTTATAAAAATTATTATAATTACGAACGAAACTTCAAATTTTCATATATTTTTATTATCCCGATAAATCAAATAGTTATTGAGATCAACATTTTCAGCGTTTAACACAATACGGAAATTATAAATGGATCTGTGATCACGTGACCTATATCTTTTCTTGGAAACGTACTACATTTGCGTATTATATTTTTCTAGGAATCGAGTCTGTCACTTGTCTGGAGCTTGGGATAGGTCAGAAAGACGAGAGAGTAAACCACGAAGATAAAAAATAGTAAATGATTAAAAATTATCTTTTCCTTTATACGGATGATTATTCGGAAATCAAAAGTGATATTGAGATAAATCAAAAAGCGTTTTAAAGAGAAAAATTTTGCACTTCTAATGATCGTTCATTCATTAATTGGAAATCATTATCTTCGAAGTTATAACGGTTTGAAGTTTTCTTAGTTTTAATAAAATTTAATCGAGTTTAAGATTTAAAATAAATTACTCGATAGCTTTATTTGTGGAAAAATATATACAAACACACTATTATCATATATATTATCATATTTTTATTCATTATAATTAAAAAAATTAAAAAATGCGTTCAACATACAGGAAATAAAATATAAAAAATATGTAAGATGTTTTTATTGATCGATAAATCGTATTATTAAAAATAATTCTTATGTAATATATATATACATTAATTTACGTACCGTTAACACAGAATAATTATAAAGAATTAAAGGGATAAGAGGAAAAGAAAATATATTTTCATCATTCTTGTAAAACATTAATAAAATAAGTACAATTTTTAATTTCTAATAATTATGTAATTATGTAAATAGTGGATTCGATTTTTAAACACGTAGCAGGAGAAAAAAAGGGAAATGAACCATTTTTGTTCATTTATCATCGAATCTGGATGATGGAATGGCATTCATTGGTTTTGGTAGAATTCCAATCTGAAAAATATGAATATTATAAAAATTTTATTACGATTATTCTGTGCAAGACTTTCAAAAATTTAAATGATCATTATTTAGAAATAAATATCTATTTGTACTTACAGATAAATGAGGATCAGAACGTCCAAAACGTAAACGCAATGAAGGTGATCGCTGAGATTTACGGATCATCAAATGTTCCAATGGAGTTTCACCAAGTCTAGCATTTTCTAAAGCATTGCGTTGCACCAGAAGTCTATAGAGCTCGTGAATATTTTCTATTGGCATTTTTTCTGGTATTTCATCTGCAAATGTGTCACAAATTTTGCCAACGAAAATTTTTATTTAATTCTATCAGTCATCAAGAAGAAACTATTTAAATATTATTGAATGTGTTCAGATTGCAGATTGATTATTTTTTAATATAATCATTATAATTTTAAAGATTACTAGGAATTTTTTACATTTGGAAATAAGATCACGTGACTGTGAGAAATTTAAGTATTTGCTTTATTATCCTGAAGCATTTCTCAACAACACATGTTGTTTACTTAAATCGCTATTTATTTTATTTAAGTTACTTAAGTTAAGCAAATTGTGTTATATTCAATAAATTGTGTAATTAAATATATTAAGTAAGTATTCAGAAAAATAGAAATACGTAAATTCTTTTTATATACCTGAGTAATCTATGTAGTTTTCGGTACCAACAACGAAGCCAACAATGATAAACAGTAAGGTTGATTTTAAGTAGAATTTGATTGGCATCTTACCAAATTTTCTGAAAATAAAATGAAGATATTAAATTTCTAAGTCGATATATATCAGTTAAATTATATTTTGAACAAGCTAATCGGTAAATATATTACAGTATAAAAATTCATGGAAATTTTCAATTATGCAGCGTATTGAAAATGAAAAACTCTGTAATTTGACATTGATTTTGATGTATTAATTAAAATTCATTACTAGAGTGACATATGCTTATATAATTCCTTCTATGTATTCTTTATCAGTACTAACTGTATGCACATTGAATTTAAATGTCACTAACTTATCATATTATCTAACTATTATACCGCACATCGACTCTATCCTATAATCCAATAAATCATTTTAGAAATAATACATATCTAATCTTTTTCTCTCACATTTTCTGCATTTCTAACTAAATTAAAAAATTCTAAATTTTTCAATTAAGAAGAAAAGTGGAACAAAAAAGATTGCGAGATATTTTACTAATTGATGAAAAATAATTTTATCAATTTTCTTCCATTTAATATCAAATATCATAATGTTGCTGACATACAAATAATATACGATAATATGATCGGTAAAACATTCACGTCGTTATCAAGATAGGAAAAGGTAGGATACGGAAAAGATGCTCTGCTATCATCGCTAATGGAACGAATTCTATTAAAATACATGCAATAATGTGGCTATGTTAATGCTTGTATCGATACATTGATACAAAAATGAAATATTTTATTTTATTCTTTTTTGAACTATAAACAATTTAATTTCGTTTCGATTTGACTTCATTTTAAAAGTTTATAACAAACGATTTTTTAAAACTGAAACCGAACTTTTGAAATAGTATTATTTATGAGATAACTTGATAAATAATAATATAATTCTTAACAAATAATCTATAATCCTTTTACATTCCTTTTTATACCAGATGTATTTATTCTTGCCTATGAAAATAAATTATAGCTGATGGCCATTGTTTTAACTTACAGCTGAAATAGATATACATTCATAATTTTCTGCTGTATATTTGTCTGAACTTTTTTCTAAACTTTAAAGAAACTTTTATTTTTTAAGAATTTGCTTGTAATTTTCTGATGTACACTTTTGAACTTTTGAACTTATCTGAACTTTTTTCTGTACTTTAAAGAAACTTTTATTTTTAGATTAGAATTTAATTTTTTCTTGAGACGTACATACACACAAACATATATATATATATATATATATATTTTTATAAATTAAGTAATTCACAAGAATGAATTATTTAAAAAATATTGGGATAAGTCTGTTAAAAATAGATATTGTCGTTTCTTGTAAATGGAGCATTTATATCGCAACACTGAAACTTAAACATCGATAAACAATGTGTATACTGTTCAAGCATTAAAAAAAAAAGGCTTGTCTAAAATTTCGTACTTTCTCAAGGCATTTCGTCGATAAATTATTCGTAGGAAAATACTTGAGTTATCGATTGGGTAAAAATATTTTTAGACCAACAACATGACGTAGCTATAAAGAAATTTTACTTAAAACGATTAAAGTGTAGGACCATTAATAATTCCTTTCTCTGGAAAACGTATTATTTTAAAAAAAGCTTTCAGTTTTTCTTCGGCCAATTTCTTCAACCAATTAACAAAAATAGAAGTGTTACATGTACTAACATGTTTATACGTTATTTAACAATAGTCGTATTTCAATTTTAAAAAATAAAAAATAAAAAGGAGAAAACATATTAAAGCATGCAGGAATTTATTCATTTATTCAAGAGATGAGATTATGCATCTGCAGATGAAAAAATTTATGACTCAGATAACTGTTCGTATTATTCTTTACGAAAAAAACTACAAATTAACGGAATTAAATTAGAATTCAACGAGAAAATATAACGATTTGGATTGTAATTGAGTATTATAAAAATATAATTTATATACAATAAAAAATATGTAAATTTGACCTTATTATTTTAATAAATACTGCAAGAAAATTATACGGTATACATCTGAATTTATATGGCATGCACTAAACTAAATCAAACTTACATAATTTAAAACTATTTAACTTCTGCTTTGCACGACTGTTGCGTATATATTAATTGGACAGTATCGAACAATAAATAGCATTTATTAGAAAATTCATACATTATTTAATTATAAATGTTACACAATGTTAGGAATAATTATACTATTATAAACTTGATAATAGAGTCCTGAAGTAATTTATTATTTAGAAAAATGTATATGCAACTTTCGAAGCAACAGAATTGCAATAGAAATTGTAAATTTTTGTTTACAAAATAATTTGAAGCAAATATTATATGTGAAATTTTATCATAAAGTCATTCTCTATATTTATGTGTTCTTGTTAAATTGTCAATTATTGTATTTGACTGTTTAAAATAAATTGTCTTTGATCGTTTTTAAATCTTTACAAAGTTTATATGAATTTTCTAATTTAAAAGATAAAAAATATGTGGAACTTGAAATATTATAATACTTATCTTGAAAAATGAAAATATATTAGATAGGATATTCTAAGTAAGAAGGATATAGATACAACATGTACAACATGTATTATAAACATAGATACAATTTTATTGAGATAATGTTCCATCATTTTCATCTAATTTTCAATCAGATTGAATTAAACTATGGTAAAATATTAATGAAGATAAATAATGATGTTTTATCTCTCTCTTTCCTCCACATTCATTTATTAGAAAAGGTACTCGATAAACAACATATAACTAATAGATTGACGAAGAATCACTTTAACAAATCTATTTTAATTAATGAAATTGAAAATTATAAAAGTCAATAGCTTGATACGTAATGCATTGCAGAAATTTTTTCATATTTTATGATATGATTGAATTCACATATTTTAATAAAGAAATTTTTAAAATTTCTACTTTTGCTATAGCTTCAAAGCGAAAAATATAAAAAATAACATTATCACGAAAAATGTATAAGCAAATTAAAATAAAATAGATAATACTGAAGATGATTGCTGAAAAGCAACATAAAATCACATGGAAATTAAACTTTAAAATTGCCTTCTAATAAAAATATACGAATTAAAATTATAATCGATTACATCAAATTTAAATTGCAAGAAAATTCTCTAAACTCACCGATTAAGATAAAGAGTAGTCGAAAATATTTTAAAAATCGAAGAGAATTTTGAATCGAAGCGCTGTGTAAAAGTCAAGCGTATCCGTCGATACGATAGTAACGATGAGAAATGAAACAGTACCAAGGGTGTCCTCGTATATATACGAGTTGGGATTTGAAGGGGGAGAATATGAGCGCAAAAGCACAGGTGGCTGTTTGAATACGAGCACGTGGTCTCTCTTAGCGCAAGCGTTCTTCCACCTCCGATTTTCCGCATCCTTTTTCTCGGAAGCTGTTTAGGATTCCTTCACGATCTTACGAAAGCTGTGGCCATACCACTCTTTGATAGTTTTCTCGATTTGTGTAATTTCTTGATTTTTCTTGATCAATAGAAATCGCATAAATTCGAGGGCTTGGGATAATTACATTTTCAAAATTGTAAAATTTTGATCAATCTTCAAGATTCAATTAGTTTTTTGAATTTTATTAATAGTTTCTAGATTTAACTTGTACGAAGTTAAAGATAAATTTCAGAATTTTATTTTTGTAATTTTGTTCTTCTAAAGATAATGCAAATTCATATTTGCAATTTTAATTTTCTTTTGAAGTTTTAACTAATTTATATTTATACTTATTTATGTCATTAGACATAACTTTATATAAGATTACTTGTGTAACATCAAAGAATTACAGTAATTAATTAACGAAGATATGATTATTATGATTATCATGGAGTTTGCTTTTGTACAAAGTATTCCTATTGTATCACTTAGAAATGGAAAGTTTTAGAGATGGAGATATCTTGAACGTATATCTTGAATGTTAGATGTACGAAGTATGAAGTATTAGAAGCATTTGAAGTATTATTGAAGTAGCGTAAATTATTGGAAGAGTATAGAATTGCGTTGCAATATCAAAGATGACTTCCACCTAATATATCATCTTATATGTAAGATTCAAGTTGTCGAGATTTGATGAATAAGGAACAAATCTTCGACCCTATTCTCAGTAGGGATTCAATTACGTTTCAATCGTAGCCAATGAATGAATGATCTTAGAAAGGACTACTTGATTAGCTGTGGTTAGAGTACAAATGTGTGACATACTTATAGTATAGTGAAATTTTTGCTTTTTTTAGTTTTTTGCTCGATATTAACAATTTAAGCTATTTTTTATGAAAAAAATTTTGTAAATTAAAATATATTTATTCAAAGTTTTATATGAAATTACATTTAAATTATATATATTAATAAATATCTATATATATTTTTTTTTATATAAAGATAAATAGCTGACAAAAAAATCAATAATTGAGCATGATATGTGTGTATAGAATACAAGAGCATATAAAATTACATTCTGACATTAATGTTAATGTCCTCTTGAACATCTTGGCTGTTAATGTCTGAATAAACACATATACTCACAGTAATAGCTAATTTAATTGAACCACATAACATAACAATAGATATTGATGACAGTGAAAAATAAATAAATTTCGAATATGTAAAGGAACAAGGGATAGAAAAGAAAACGACGGGCTAAATGTTTATTTTATTAATTTATACTTATTTTTAATACCATATATTAAAACATATGTCTATAAATAGTTATTATTTGTAGACAAATTGTCAGGAAATTAAGGAAATTATTCAATAATTGAAAATGAATACTTATGTTATCATCAATCTTTTCAATCAATCTTTTTCATAAATTATTAGTTATTGTTATTTAATCGTATTTTTAGTATGCGTATAACTATATTCATTTTTATATACGTATGTATATTTTATACAAATGTTATATTATACGTTATCTCTCGATACGATTTCTATTAGTTCACGCAATATGGCTTTAGATATTTATACATCTGTTTCAAGAATTATAATTTATTCACGTATTTGTCATATAATTCTTTCAATATTATAGATATATTATATGATTTTTTATAAATAATTATCGAAGATTTTTACATATGTAAATAATTATTGAAAGTTATATGAACGAAAGTTAAAAATTTAAATCAATAACCTGATAAAATAAAATATAAAAGTCTTTTATAAGAGAAATAATTAAAGTGATAATTACAGATACTTCATTACTTGTTTCAAAGATGACAAAATTCAATTCCATTTTATTATCGTACAATTATTTTTGTGCAAAATATTTTTGTGCAAAAAAAAAAACAGAAATTATATTCACCAGCAAGACTCAAAATCTGCGGTTTGATCCCTTTTGCATCCAGGTGCTACGTAAACTATACGAACACAATTAGTAAATCCTGTACCTTGACGCCATCCACTAATAATCACGACTGCATCACCGACCTTAATATACTTTTTCTTTCTGAGAGAATCGATACCAGTTTGTATTCGAGTTTGTATGTCTTTACTCCAATCTGATAAACTCTCCTCTAAATTACATTTAAACTACGTTAAAACTATTATAATTTTTATAAAATAGAGAAGAATATATTGATTTGTGAATAAGAATTTTTTTTTAAGGAATAATATATATTTACCTTGTAATGAAGAGAATGGATACCGAAATAGAGCATTAACCATCTTGCGACTACTCCATATCGAGTAACTGCAAGAATAGGACATCTTGGACGATACATTGATAACAAAACAGCACTTCTTCCAGTTGTTGTAGTAACGATAATTGCTGCTGCATTCGATTTTAAGGATGTGTTAACAGCACCAATTATGATCGAGTGTAAAGGGTCCATAGGTACTGGTACCTGGTTTTGAATAATAAAAATGTGTTATCATAAATTATGCAACGATATAAAAAGATTCGAAAAGTTTTTCTACCTTGTAACTTAATTCATCGAAAATTTCTTTTTGCCATCGAGCACACTCAGCTTCTCTACATATGATATCGATATCTTTTATCAATTGAGAAGTGTCTTTCATGTTCAAAGAACCAGTTTTAAGAAAAATTGCGTCTATTCCATCCAAAACAGCATTTGCAATTAAATTCATATCGATATTTATTTTATTATTTTCGTCACATACTTCGAATGATAATATGATTGGTTTTCCCATCTGGAGAAAAAAATTAAAAAAACGTAGTAAATTTATGAATATTAGAAAATTGTATTCTTTTTTTTTTATAAATATTTTAAATATTTTCTTATAATAGACTTACTTTTATACATTTTGCAATAATTATTTTTTCAACTAGAAATAACTTTTTATTCCCTACGTCTACTTCAATACCTTTTCTGTCGAGGAGAATAGCATCAGCTGCATTCAAAATTTCGTCCAACTTTTCCAAGCCTTGTTGAGACGAGATTTTTGCTATAACGCAAATTCTAGTAATATCTTTAAATAAAATTGATCAGCTTATTCATTGTGTATTAATTAGTTCAAATAATATACAGATTATACGCATACTCATTTTCTTGAAGCGACTTTTAATAGTGTACAATACTTTCTCGTTACGCACGTGATTTATTATAAGAAAATCACATTCTAAATGTGAAGCCCATTTCATGTGTTCAATATCCTTTTCCGAAATTTGTGGTAATGGAACTAAACTGTCCAATAATTGTATCAGTTTGCCATCTTTTATAATACCACCTTTGATAATCTTACAAGTTATAGCTTGTTCATCTGTATCGAAAGAATTTTTATTTTCATTAACAATTGAATCGAAAGCGAAAAAGAAATCATTTATTATAAATATTAGAACCATTTCGTCTATAACATTTTTCCAATTTTAAAAATCTTGAAAGCTGTTTTCATCTCTTGAGCATGAATATCAATATTTTAAAAAAAATACTATGTCAAATATTTTCTCTTAGAGAAATATATATCGTATTAAAAAATATATCACGTATATTTTTTTGTAATCGGTGTTTTATATCCAACATAAAAAAAAAAAACTAACGGATACAAGTAACTTGTAGTAAAACGGCTCCTCTATCGACTAATATTCTATCTCCTACTTGACATATGCGAGGTAAATTAGGATAAGAAACCCAGAAACAGGTTGCACATCCTGCACGTTTTGCAATATCCTGCGTTACCAATTTTACCTCTTTACCCTCTTCTAATTTGGCATATCCCTGTAAATATAAATATTCGATAGGTACACATCTCATTTCGTAATTCCGTAAAATTTCATAAAATTTTGATCAGTATACTTGAATACTATTTATTTAAAAATTTACTTGTTATTAGAAAATATGTAAAATTATGATAAATTTATTTTAAAATTATAAGATAAACATTAATTAATAATTAAAACTAATATGAATTTAATTCTGATTAATATCGTACTAAGCTTGTTTTATCGCTGCGGAATGCACCAGCTCTTATTTCAGGACCCTGAAGATTTATTGCGACTCCTAAGGGATAGATTTCGCTCGTGCATTCGTACATTGCATTTCCCGCTTTCCTGACAGATTGTATAGTGGCTGTATGCCACTTATCCGTTTCATACGCCATATTCAAACGAACTATATTTGCACCAGCCATCATTATGCTAACGACAGCATCAGGATGAGAATTCCTCCTACCTAAATTAAATAATACATGTAATTTGCGTGATATATGCAGGATATTTACAAATTGGTGATATATTTATCTCGAGTATTTTAATAATTTATGATTTTTGTTAAAATATTTCTAGTTTAATTATTTTTTTATTTTTCATTATTGGAAAATTGAATACAATTAATTTATTTACCCAATGTAACCATAATACGAGTAAGCCTTGCTAGCTTGGGACTGGAATTGATATTAAGGTTTATGTTATGTTCGAGACGCGTGTTTTGATATGCTGCCTTTATTTGTTCGTCTGATATATATTGATCTTCGAAGTTTATCATCTACGTATTAAAGAATGAATCTATACATACCAATTGTCAATGTTTTCTTAATTTAGAGGTTCAAAAGAAAACAAATTTTGATACAAGCATAATATAGTTTACACTCAATTTCGATTATATTATATAATTTCTAATTTAATATAAGTTTTTGTTAAATTAATAACTATTATTTCTACTTGTGTAAAAATTACCCATGGCATTTGACGTGATTTTTTCCACGTATAGGTTCCTGGTGAAGAATTATTACATATCATTGTGTGATATTAGATATTAGAATTGAATATTAGAATATATGTCAAGGCCTAAACGTATATATTTGTAAAAATTGTAATTATAAATTATTTGTCCATTTTATTAGTGATTTTTTTTATAGATTATAGATATAGGGGGTTAAGTTATATGTTACGGATAGAAAAAAATTGAACACTGAATGTTTTAAATATTTTTTTATTCAATCAGATGAAACGTACTTTAGCACAAAATTTTAATTGATATTCGAAATTTATTATATTTTACTGATAAAACGAAAAATACAATTTAATTAATATTTAAAATATTTAATAATTTAAAATTTTTTCTAATTTCTTTCATGTAGTAAAAATGGACAAAGTAGAAAATAGACTTATCATCTTATGATTTCATATCCAATTTTTTGAATTACTAATCGCGCAAGAAATCAATTGATACATCACTGTGATGTAGAATCTTTGATTCATCGTTACTAACGGATGGAAAGTTGTTGAATTATCGAGTGTCACGATATTATCTACGAACGATAAGTATTTCGACACCAATAATCGTATTTATAAGTGTAAGTGTTATTTTTTAATAAACCTATACATCTGTCTTTGTACTTCAACCTCTTCTTTTCGAGAAGAAATAGCATTCTAAGAAACGAAGAAGTATGAATGCGTCTGTACAGAAACGAACGTAAAAAAATAAGAGTAGAATCAACAATCAGAAGAAGAAGATTCCACTAAAAAAAGAAAAAAAAAAAAAAGAAAAAAAAATAAAAAGAAGAAGAAAAGAAGAGAACTACAATTTATTAAAACTATACTCGCTACATTCAAAAACTGTATGGATGATATAAATAAATATCTGCTCATTTAATCTATTCTAGATATTCGTCTACAATATAATCAGTCAGTAACATCATACTTAAAACATTGTGTAATTACATTGTGTAATCTATATTACTTTCTTCACTCCTTCGAAGTGAAGCGAAGATTTCAAAGCCTGAGTCTTTTGAGCAGGCGCGTTATCGCAAAAAATAAAACAATTAAACATTTCACAGATTCGTTTAATATTTCCCAGATTTCTGATAACGAAACCAGGTTGTTGGAATTCGGTCGTTATCACGTATAAAATTGTTGGGTGCGCGATATCGTTTTGTGGCACGGACGTGAAAATATCACGGAGCAGGCATCAAACGGTGGTTCAAGGCTGACCTGGTATAGGTACTTATTGTATCAAGTCTCGTTAACGAGAGATGTTCATTCACTCGCGCTCACGGATGACAAGTGCGATTCGTGGAACACGAGGCGGCCGTATTGACCCGTGTCACGGTGCGACGAGGTGTCAGTGAGAGATCGCTGCGTTTCTTTCCACGAGATCGTAAAATGTGCATAAATCTGTGTAATTGTCGCGTAATGAAAACTCGAACTGTCGTGCATCGACACGTGTGATAAATATGGCAGCGCTCGTTCGTCTTAAACGTGGGAGCGTCCAGTTGAGACATGCGGCGCTGGAAATGAAAGGTAAAGGGGAAAATCTTTCGAGAGGAGATATTAATTTGACAAGACGGTGATTATTTAGATCGGTTAGCAGAAGCTATTAAAAAGTTATACGATGTAATGATAGAGTTGAAATAGTTATTTTAACATTAAACCTGGTATTACTTGTGATATTTGTAATTTAAAATGTACGCTGTTATTACAAGAGTATTTTTTTAAACCGAGAACAAGTTTGTGATATATGTCAATACTTAATAAAGTAAGTAATAAGATCAATGTAAATAAACATTGTATCAAACTCGTAAAATTTTTCACGTGATGATTAAAACTTGAAAATTTATAGATTGTATATCAGATTATTAATTGTGTATCTCAATTGCAATAATATAATTTTCCTGTTTCCCTACTCGAGATATACATGGAATTTTTTATTCTATCTTCACTTTATAAAGTGCGTATGAAAAATGAACAAGGAAATCTCTTATCATCGGATATTTATTATTTTTAAGAATCATTATTTGTACTACGTTTTAAGGAACCAAAGTCGAGGTCGTTTGCATTGCACGGAATAGTAATGAGATAATAGGCATAGAATCGTACGATAAAAGAGGTATGCACACGTCGATTTTGTTCCTTTCGACTATCGTGAGATGGAAGAGTTTGTTAAAAGAGGTAAAGTGCAGTTGGTGAAACGTAGCAGTGTTCAGATAAAGCAAGCCGCATACGAAGTTCGAGGTTCGTCCAATTAAACATAAGATAAATACGATTTAAAGTAATAAATAAATAATAAATTGAATTCTTTATCGATATCTTAATAAAAATAGACGATAATTATGTCATCAATTTGTACTTGTGTTATGAAAAATCCATTGTCATTTTTATTATAATTGAATTTATGATATTTTTCTTATTTTACAAACCAAAAAAAACGTATATTCTTTCAAATTTGTTATCGATAAATTGATATATAATATAATGGATAATTAGAAAATATTTCCTTAACTCTGAATTAAAAACCGAAATTATGAAATCTATTGTTTAATCAATTTATCAAAAACAAACAGTTAGAGACGATGTATAACAGCGCTGATAATATATGTATACAATGTGCATAACACTCGCTTGCTGTCGCCTGATAATACGATAAAAAGAATTAAAATTATTTTGAAAATAGAATGTACTAATTTAAAAATATAACATCTACACATCATCTGAAACTTCATATATAAATATTCCTTATATAATAAAATATTTTCGAATATTGTTTTTTTTGTAGCAAAAATAACAATAATTTTTATGATAAAATTTATTAAATATCGCTGTTTAATAATTGATTTAGCGGCTGTACGAGCGCGACACATCGTTGCTGCGCTTGTTGCAGTTGGATTTGCACTTTGTGGCGCGGTGGAGGTGAGTTCCTCGGTTGCGTTACTTGCCAATCAAAAAGACAATCATGCCATCATTGACACATCGTGGCATTGTGAAATGCTGGTCAACATCAGTAGTCGTAATCGCACCGAAGACTTCGAAGTTATATTAATGGAGGTAAGAAATTTTATTAAGTATTTTTTTTTACTTTGCCGAGGAACATCTCTTTTTACAAAAAGGAATAACACTTTCCAGTTACCACCCGAAGAACGCGCAGAATCTATAATGAGAGAAGCGTTTTTGTGGGGACAAGTGGCAGGTCCGATTTTAGGAGGATGTTTAGTATGGGGAAGATCGGGCCCATCTATGGTGTTTTCACGTGCGGTTCTTAGCGCTTGCTTGGCATCTTTATTGGTACCAGCTGCATGGAGAGGCCCGTCTCATGTAGCGCTTCGTCTGTTTCAGGGATTATGTACGGTAAGAATTAAATGGATATTACATCATGGAAATTATAATGTGCATAATATAATTTTAGAAAAAAATAAGGATAAAAAGGATAGTAGAGAAATCGTTAATCATTGATGGGGTTTCTCACTTGCAGGGTGCAACTATGCCTGCTGCTCATATGCTCGCTATGACTTGGTTTAAGAGCACTCATAGAAGTTGGTACTTCAGTTGTTACGCTGGTAAATTATTATTAATTTTAATATCAAGATTTGAATATAATTGCATATATTTATAGCGAGATTAATAAAATATTACATTTGCTAATAGCTGTCAGTGTTGGATACTGTCTCACAGGATGGATAGGAACAGCTGTCGTTCGAAGTTTTGGACGAGACTCGCTTTGTTATGGTCTCGTTTGCATTGCACTATGTTGGTATTTCTCTTTTGGTCGATTCGTCAAAGACACACCAAAATCCTACCAGCACGACACAAATGTAAGATCAAATTTTCCCTTTATCTATTTTAAATGGACGATTTTCTTTTTTTTTTCTGTATCCTTCTTTTGGCAATATTTAATTCAGATTATTATTACGACACGAATCATATAGAGAAAATGTTCTACGAATTATGTTAATAATTTTTTTGTTTTAAAAGATTAATGAAGCTTTATGTAAAATTGTTTCCGCGCTAAATGTTGAGTAAAATGTTAAATAACGGAAACAAAAAATTACATTAAAAAGAAAAAGAAACATTTGAATATGAAATTAATAATAGGCAGCTGTGATTCCATGGGGGAAATTACTGCGATCCGTTCCTGTTTGGGCATCCGCAGTGGCAACGATGGGAAATCAATGGGGCGATGCAACTCTCGCTCTTGGTATGACGAAATATCTGAAGCTCATTTATGGATTCTCAACGGCCAATGTGAATATTTTTCAACGATATATACATATATTAAACGAATTAAAACACATTCGATCCTTCATTTTGTACTGCAAAATGAACGTTTATCTTTCAATGATTTCAAGGATTCTGTCTTGACGACGTTACCTCACATTGGACATTTCATGGCTGCTTTAACATGTGGTCTTCTCGTGGATCACGTTCGTGAATCGAAAATAGTTTCCACGACCACGGCAAGAAAGTTGGTCGTTTATACCGGTACGTATTCATTGCATTAATCGATCAATTTGTTAATTATTATGAACAATTAGCTATTTCTTAATTTCATCGAATTAGATTTTTATCTAAAAAATTGAATTAATTCGTTGTTTGTCGCAGCTCATTTTATACCAGCTGCCCTACTTTTCGTCGCTGGCTACGCTGGCTGCCAGGCATTAGGGGCAGCCTGGTTAGGCATAGCCGCCCTCCTCGTATCTGGCACCGCACCAGCAGGAGCTTTGGCGGCCATAGCGGACCTGGCTCCTGTAGAATCTCCAGCCTGTGCAGCGGCCGCGTGCGCATTGTGCTCGACTTTAGGCGCGGCAGGTCTATTGGCCGCCAATTACTTTGTCACTCAAGCTCTTCATGGCTCTGTAAGTTCAAATTTGCTAGTAAAATTTTTGCCAATTCATATATGTTTATTATGTTATATAGACAGACATATTCCAATCTCCATTTTAATGTCCGGCTTCCTCTTACAAGTAAAAGTCTCTCTGTGATAAAAATACCACAGGAAACATTAAACCTTTCACGCTTGTTTATGTTAATGAAACCGCAATAACAATTTTAACGATCTTCCAATTCTAACTTCCTTACAGCCCATTAACTGTCGGTTATTCAAGTGTAAGTATTCAAACTATCCTCCAATTAAAATCCTACTACACTTCGTTTTTTCTTTTTTCTTTTCTTTTCTTCTTTTTCCCTCAATTGCGAAATCACAAGTAAAATCACTTAATAATTTAACCACGTATTCGATGGAATATTTTACATTTTTTTCCATCAATTTAATTACAATCACAATAAAGAAGAACAATTTTTTTATTTTAGATAGCCGGCTCGTGGCGATTGGTGTTCGGTGTCGCTTCCGTCGTTCTGTTAACGACTGCCGCGGTTTTCTTGGCGCTTGGAAAAGGCACGCCGCAACCGTGGATACCTTCCGTGGCACGGCCACGGAGTCACGATGCAATTTACGAGCAAGACGCGTTGGAGCTCGATTACGAGGACGTGGCCGTGCAAACGGAACCTTTCAATCCTTATCCGCTCGAGGAGGACGCCGAAAGCGCGAGAAACGTGCCTCGTTCCGCCTCGGTCCACTCGGAAGTTTCGCAGGCGTCCACTTAGATTCACGGTCATTCACGTGAGAATTTCGATATTCAGTTCAGTATTTTCTTTTTTTTTTTGTATCTAAGGATTGTTAACTTCATGTTTCGTTGATATTTGTACAAAATATCGGAGGAATTATTTTAAAGTTTTGAGCGACTGCGGATTTGTTATGCTTAAATTGTTTAAGTTTAATTATAGGTGTACGTTACACATTCATATCTGTTGTCTCACTTTTCGTGGTTGGAGTCAAACGGTTGTGTGACACTAGTCATATATTCAGAAGCGAAACCGATCGAGTCTACTTTTTCGAAACGTTTAAGCTTTAAGAAATTAATGGATGATCGAGCTTTCTTAAATATTCCCAAGATACTCGAATATTAAAGCAACGGATTAAAATAAATTAGAAATTTGATCGATTTCGCGTTATTACCTTACCTAATTATTCATTTTTATGTTAGCGCAATAAATACGCTTGCGTAAAGCGTCAAAAGTAAAGCGTTGTATAGAATATAGCTCTCTCTCTCTCTCTC